TAAAAAAAAAAAAAAAAAAAAAAAGGAAGCCAAATAATATATTTGTCTACCGAAGACAAACGAAAATAATGATCGATACACGTTTAGACACCCGATACAAACCACGCGCCTTCTTTATCTTCAACAGATACACCATAAGAATATGGTAATGCCATGCGTCTTAAGTCCTGGTCTTCGCCCTTGAAAGGGTAAGAAATAGACGCAAGATTAACGTCCATTGTTCTCTTTCTCAAATGTTCTTTTTTGTTTCACGGGACTTCTAGCTTCAATCACTTCAGACTCCTTCTTTGTGACAGATTCATCTGGCTTACCAGCGTTCATGTCCCCCAGTGGAAGGCCACCACCATTTGATGATGCTTGCTTTCGCATAGCTCGAGGTATTTTCAAAGGTATATCTGTGTCAATTATATTTTTCTCTACCTTAGGGGCAACCAAAGAGTTTTCAGGTCTAGATGAGTGCATTTTCAGTGGTATGTTCGCTTCATTGATGCTATTATCTTCTTTCTTGGGGACTTCAGAATTATCTTCAGAGGAAGGTGGAGGATCTGTAACAACAAGTACTGGGGGCTTCACCTTCCCCCATTTCTTTCTTGGATTAGCCTTCTGAGCATTTGATTTTGCCTGCAAAAAGAAATAATTAAAACACTCAAGTAATCTGTATTGCATCCAGTTCACACACAACGACAGAAAACAAATTAATGATTTAATGCAGAATTAGATAGGTTTCATAAGACGCACCAGTGTATTTCCAATATCAGAAAGAGGTTTTCTTGGCCCATGATCACTGTGGGCTTCAGCAGGCCCCTCAACCAGTGCACCGTGAAGCAATTCAGCCCCTTGAGCAGCAAGCACGAACCTCGAACATGAAAATTCGGGGTCGAGTACGAACTCCGAGACTCTCAGCATAAGGTTCAATTCGAACCTTAATTACGTTGTTCATTTTAAAGCGAGGTCGAACACGAACCTCGAACATGAAAATCAGGGGTCGAGTACGAACTCCGGGACTCTCAGCATAAGGTCAAATTCGAACCTTAATTATGTTGTTCATTTTAAAGCAAGGTTGAACACGAACCTCGAACATGAAAATTCGAGGTCGAGTACGAACCTCGAGACTCTCAGCATAAGGTCAAATTCGAACCTTAATTATGTTGTTCATTTTAAAGCAAGGTTGAACACGAACCTCGAACATGAAAATTCGAGGTCGAGTACGAACCTCGAGACTCTCAGCATAAGGTCAAATTCGAACCTTAATTATGTTGTTCATTTTAAAGCAAGGTTGAACACGAACCTCGAACATGAAAATTCGAGGTCGAGTACGAACCTCGAGACTCTCAGCATAAGGTCAAATTCGAACCTTAATTATGTTGTTCATTTTAAAGCAAGGTTGAACACGAACCTCGAACATGAAAATTCGAGGTCGAGTACGAACCTCGAGACTCTCAGCATAAGGTCAAATTCGAACCTTAATTATGTTGTTCATTTTAAAGCAAGGTTGAACACGAACCTCGAACATGAAAATTCGAGGTCGAGTACGAACCTCGAGACTCTCAGCATAAGGTCAAATTCGAACCTTAATTATGTTGTTCATTTTAAAGCAAGGTTGAACACGAACCTCGAACATGAAAATTCGAGGTCGAGTACGAACCTCGAGACTCTCAGCATAAGGTCAAATTCGAACCTTAATTATGTTGTTCATTTTAAAGCGAGGTCGAACACGAACCTCGAACATGAAAATCCGGGGTCAAATACGAACCTCAACACTCTCAGCACAAAAGGAATCAAATAAAGATCGCCTTCTTGCTGCTCAAGGGGCTGAATTGCTTCAAGGTGCACTGGTTGAGGGGCCTGCTGAAGCCCACAGTGATCATGGGCCAAGAAAACCTCTTTCTGATATTGGAAATACACTGGTGCGTCTTATCAAACCTCTCTAACTCTGCATTAAATCATTAATTTGTTTTCTGTCGTTGTGTGTGAACTGGATGCAATACAGGTTACTTCAGTGTTTTAATTATTTCTTTTTGCAGGCCAAATCAAATGCTCAGAAGGCTAATCCAAGAAAGAAATGGGGGAAGGTGAAGCCCCCAGTACTTGTTGTTACAGATCCTCCACCTTCCTCTGAAGATAATTCTGAAGTCCCCAAGAAAGAAGATAATAGCATCAATGAAGCGAACATACCACTGAAAATGCACTCATCTAGACCTGAAAACTCTTTGGTTGCCCCTAAGGTAGAGAAAAATATAATTGACACAGATATACCTTTGAAAATACCTCGAGCTATGCGAAAGCAAGCATCATCAAATGGTGGTGGCCTTCCACTGGGGGACATGAACGCTGGTAAGCCAGATGAATCTGTCACAAAGAAGGAGTCTGAAGTGATTGAAGCTAGAAGTCCCGTGAAACAAAAAAGAACATTTGAGAAAGAGAACAATGGACGTTAATCTTGCGTCCATTTCTTACCCTTTCAAGGGCGAAGACCAGGACTTAAGACGCATGGCATTACCATATTCTTATGGTGTATCTGTTGAAGATAAAGAAGGCGCGTGGTTTGTATCGGGTGTCTAAACGTGTATCGATCATTATTTTCGTTTGTCTTCGGTAGACAAATATATTATTTGGCTTCCTTTTTTTTTTTTTTTTTTTTTTTA